CATCAATTAAATTTAATTTTGAATTAAATTCATAATATTTAAAATTGATTATTTTGTGAGTTAAAATGCATGTAGGTTATACGATGGTTATTAATAACGAGATTAGACATATGAATGATGGTAGGCCACAGGTGCACGTGCCACCTGCCCGGACCAAGCAATACACAATTAGACGAGAATGAGTCTTATCTCCGGCCTCAAAGGTCTTGGTCGCGGTCGTGGGTTGGTCTTGAGTTTGGTAAATGCTTTCACTTGACGAAGTCTATTATGCTCTGAAGTCAAATTGAGACAACAAAATATTTTACGAAAACCCAAAAAAATATATGTTTGTTACACAATAAATATCCCAATAAAGGAGTGCCTATATAAGGTCATTCCCACCACTCTCTTTTGTACATCATTTGAAAGCTCTCATATGTAATGATCTCCCTCTGAGAGTCTTTTTGGCGAGATTTCCGGTAACTCTCCCAACGGTGGAGTCCATGAATGTTGTTTTATCTTTAAGAATGTTACACCATAAATCGGAGTCACTACTGGGGCGCATTCATTTTTTCGAAGAGATTTTCTATCTCGACTTGATCGTGATTATCGAATTTATTTCGATAAAATATTTTGATTATCGAATTGTTGGAACTTATCAAGAATTAAACCCTAAGCCTAGGATCTGTCATCTTGAAAATATTGAGATAAGAAAATAAAGCAAATAAATCTAACATGATTCCGTTAGCATTGTCGGATTCGAATATGCAAATTAATGGAGGGTTTTGTGTTCTTCAACTCTATGATGCAACCTCTCTTGAAAATCTCTAGGGTTTTTGCCGTTATTTCCACGATGAGATATGAAAAATTAATGGATGTTGCTCCTAGACCTAGGATCATAACCCTAATATATATCCCTTATTATTAATTGCCCTCATCATCTATTTAATAAGTTATTGGATTTCTGCACATAGGAGGTCCGCAATTACTAAATACATTTAAGCCCAATAAATTAATTGATCACTTAATATAGACTTAATTTGACAGATAGCCCAAATAGTTAGATTTAATCCAAAATTGGAATTTTAATCCAACAATATCTCACTTGGGTAAATGTACATTGTATAACGTTATGAGCTCATGAAAATTTTTCTATCAGATCCTTTAATTTATTTTACCAATCTTATTTGTAAACTACAGTAATGCTGATCAAAGAGACCATCATTGCATTTATCGCAATGCGACCAATAAGTGGTCACAACATTAGTATAACCTAAAATTCGATCAAGTGCGGATGCACAACATGGAAATTTCATGTAATGTGATCTTAACATACTTATTTACTACTGATTCACCTTAATTTTAATTCAGAATACTGAATACTGAATAATGCAATATAAAATAAAGTAACCTTAACTGTATTGAACATTATTAATTAGCTCCTACTAAACTGAAATATCAAGATATGGGTCCACTCTCATACGAGCAACATGCTCACTATATAACTTATGTGAAAACCCTTTAGTAATTAAGCGGATCCACAGTCATGGAAACTATACGAATATGTTTAATCGTTAATTAATGATATGAAGCCATACAATTAAGCAAATAATCAAATAATGTAGTGGTTCCAATCAATTTTAAATTCTGGAAGAGACTAAGACTTTATTTCCTTGTGTAAAATAATAGTTGAATAGTAAAATACAGTACCATAAAAAATTTCTAATCTAAATTCAAATAATAACCAATACTTAATAATAATATAAAATTATTAGTGGCTTCAATATTAACTTTCTTGTCATCACCTATATAGATGTTTTTTTCACCATTAATTGATTTTCGGTAATAAAGACAATTTACATAGACACACTGATGCCAATTGTTGCACCAAAATACACCCCCATGTGTGTCTATGAACTAAAATTAAACTAATTTCAGTACAAACTAAAGTAAAAAAAGTGTATTTTATTTGTGCTAGTTAGCACAATTCATTTTCTCATGTCAAGTCTTCTAGCAAAGGAAGTAAGTCTTTTCAACAGGATAAGTGTGATTAGCTGGAACTAAAAGTGAGAGTGACACCGATAGGACTAATATGTCCCCCAAAATGTCTAATTAATTAAGTGCCTTTAATTTAGCAGAAATATTGAACATGTTTAGGATGCACTCTCTTATGTTACATTTGTCATTATACCTCATGGAAATGAGACTCTTAAGAAGAATACTCATTTCCAATTTATCACTTTTGGTAAAGCATTTCTTAATTTCGACAAGAAATCCCTTGGTAGTAGTGATATCATCAGATATCATACTTTGAAAATTTTATAGAGTATTTTTCTTAATGATCATCAGACCTAGGCGTTGGACCTATCCCGCTTCTCAAATAATTGTTTTTCATCTGCAGTATTATTCATTGTGTAAGTGGGTTAGTCTACTGTTAATGTCAAGTCAAGATTCATGCAACCCAAATAAATTAATATTGATTCTTTCCGGTACTTACATTTGTTTCCATTTCATGTTGGGACTGAAAAATATATATAAATATTTACAAAAATAACGCATTCTCATCCCAAAACACTAAGTGAAATATCAATGATCAATATTTGGATCAATAAAATTGAGTGTTAACAATCATTGTTGCAATAATCATATACAGATAATAAGTAATGTCAAACACTAAATCAATCTTTGAACTGATTCAATATTCACATAAGCTAAATCTATATAATCATCTCATATATATTATCGCAAATGTATATTTCATTATGTCAATTTCCAACTGCATTTGGGCAAATAATAATCAAATTAATTAAAAATACACATATAAACACTTACGTTATCAAGTAAAAATCTCATAGAAGAGAGGTTACTTTGACAACTTCAAATACTTAATTTTTACCGTCAAAATGCAGTAAACATTATTAATAAATTTTTAATATCTTTAAACCAAATTAGATAAGAACTGCGTTCAATACATACGAGTCTAATTTCATAAAAATAAATAGTGTATAAGCAACAAAATGCACATGTTTATAAGCAACTGAATATTCCGTATACAATAAGCTAGCAATCATATCACAAGTTATCGAGCAACATCAATAGTTGTCTTTAGACAAATTACTGACTCGCCAGTGATAAACTTGTTTTCATACTTACATATTAACAATAAAGTAGTGTGTCAAATAATATTCCATTCTTGGAATATATTACTCACACAAATAACCAAATTATCATCACCGCATTCAATGTCACTAAACAATGTAACTACTTAATCGCTGACTTTCTTTTAGGTCAAGCAATAGCTTATAAGTCATAAACACAACCTTCTAATATATAAAATAAATAGATCTAATGTTGTTTTGACAACATAATTTTTTCGACCAATTCATAAAATAATTATATTATTTATTGTTAATTAAATTCACTTTAAAGAAACTTATACGTATATCAGATATTGTTGAAAGCTATAATAACAACAATTTTTTTTTTTCCCCTAGATTTATTAAAATAATCAAGTAGTCTAATAAAGTAATAAATGTAGCGGAATTACACAGACAAAAATATGTCATCCTAAAATACTATAAATTAATAAATTAAGAAATTATAGTCGAAATTGAACAAACGCATACCGTCAAAAGCAAATGTTGTTATATCCCAAATTTAATTGGACTATCAAACGAATCATAATGAATATTCGATTATTCAAAAAATCAGCCATAAAAATAAATATTCAATTATTCACAAAATCAGTCATAAAAATAAATATGGTCTGCATCGCATTCGATTATCCACATAATTGCAACTTCAATCGTAGCATTAATTATTTGTACCAAATAGTCAGATTACCTGCCAATTAATTGAGTACAAACCAATATGATTCTATAAAGTATTGTAAAAAAATAGATAAATGGATGAATAAACCAACGCTCAGACGATAGATATGCATGTAAATTGCATGTACATAAACTTATGATTGCATACACAACTGTATAGTTTTACTTGAATTTGATTTCCATGCAATAATTCAAACCAAACTATCAAAAATTTCAAGCAGCAGCAATAATAGAATGAATCTGAATAAATAAACAAATGGCACCGACGTTACATACCTAATTACAATTACAATCGTATATTTATTATGTTAACATATTCTAATCCAAATTCGAATAATTGATTTGAATTGCATCTTCCATCCAATCAATATTTCATTTACATAGATACATATATCAGCTGCAAACACGAATATAAATGCAGCGGGCGATCAGCCAATGCAATAACCGAAAAAAAAATCATGCAAGTTTAATTCCGATTAGACATTAAATAATAGATTTATTATCTAATATGGCAAAGATAATACAGACGTATAAATTATTAAATACATACACAGATTCATGTTTGATTTCCAAATTGGTTCTAGTATAAAAGATAGAGATTTTGAGCCAACTAGAAATAACGATGATAAATAAATAATCACACATCTGCAGATGTATTGTCATCACTTTATTGGTTTCAATCAAACAACCACTTGATTTAATTGTAAGGTCAAGGTCAGTGCAAGCAACAAGATTGAATTCAACACCAATTGGTATTTCAATTCCACATAATTAATGATTAATCCACCCAATCTTGATTCCAATGGATTCGAAAAGAACAAATTGAAAATATAATAAAGATTTGTGTCATGTGTGCATCGAATTAATTTGATTATAAAAATATATATATATATATATAATTGATCTAACCAAATATCCCAATAATTCAACAAGGAATGACTCTAATACAAATTGTTGGAATTTATTATGAATTAAATCCTAAATCCACAATCTATGTTCAAAAAATTTAGATAAAGAAAATAAAGCAAATAGATTTAACCTTATTCCATTAACATTTTCGGATTCCGATATCAAATTAATTTGAGGGTTTTGTGTTCTTCGATTCTAAAACCAACCCGTCTTGAAAACCTCTCTTATTTCTGCTGTTATGAAAAAGTAATTGATGTTCCTTATTATTGATTTGCCCTATCATCAAATTAATAACTTACGAGTTTCTGCATATAAGAGGCTCGCACTTACTAAATATATTCCATTAACAATTGGATTATGAATTAAATCCTAAACCCACAATCTATTAACGAACGTATATATTTCCAGAAAACAATACAAAAATCTTCTCCTTATTCTATCTTCCTATCTATCTTGACAAGTACATGTATGCATTCTATTCCTTCCTCAAGTGGGACGTGAGATCAACAAATAAATTCTCGCTGCAGGGAATGGTTAGGCCTCCCATTGGATGATAGAACCCGAATTCCTCCTCAGCTTGAGACAGCAACGCTTGAAACATAGGATCCTTCAAATAAGACACCGGAACAACATATCGCTTCTTTTTGCTTGTCTCGCCAATGTATACTGCTAAGTGCCCCTTCGGAACCTCGGCTGATCTTTTTTCACTTGATAAAGACCGTCTCAGCTTTTGTAGGATCGCCATTTCGGGATTTTCTGAATGAAAGAACATGAAAATTTTTATGTAAGAAGTGATCAATCCTTCAAAAGATTGAAGTCGATGTTGCTTGTTTTAGTATGGATCTCTGAAGTATATATATAATAGACAAGTAATCAAGATATACCGTGTACTGCAGACTATTTGACCAACCAGTGAATATTGAAAGTAGAATATGAGTTGCTTACGAAACTACTGAGACATCAGCACATGGTCAGATAAATGCATCTGTCTTGGTACAGGACTGTACGATCACAAGCCGCTGCAGTTTTTGTGGTCGATATGATTGTCCCTTTAGGACATGTATCTGTTGAATGTCTTTACTGTAATAAGTCAAGACAGACCTGGGGCCATCGTTCTTCCTTAACTTCTAAACCAATTCTGTAATGAAAACATGTTTAAGATCCTTTAATCTCTGAGTCAATCAGAGTCATGATCCGCCAGCCAACTTCGCTGTCTTAAAGGTTTCACATTAGTCGAGAAACACAATCACGAGTTGCAGGTTTGTTTAAGCTTGCAATGTCTGAAACCAGAAATGTAGATATTCTGTAATCAATGTGTATCCATTGTTTCACATGGTGGACCAATTGAGAGGTTTCCGAAGGTCCATTTTCAGCTCTTTACGCTGCTATTTCAATTTCGAGAAGTAGATAAGAAGTTAGGAATTCCAATCGAAACCAAGTAGTGGTTGAGCATATGATCGATTAAAAATCCGATTTATTACAACATAAGACATGTGGTGGTTGTATGTCCTGAAAGAACTATACGACACCATATCCAAACTACAACCAGCAACAACTACACTAATCTTTCTAACCTTTCACTTCATACACAAACGCATCTTCTTACAACTTTCACCTTCTTGGCTAATACATCTGACAATGGCAATCGTACAAAAGCTTAGAAGGTCTTTATCAAGCCAAAGAAGATCGGCGGAAGTTCCAAAGGGGCACTTGGCGGTTTATGTTGGGGAGAACGATGAAAAGAAGCGCTTCGTCATTCCGGTGTCCTATTTGAACCATTTGTTGTTTCAAGAATTATTGCTTCAAGCTGAGGAAGAATTCGGATTTCATCATCCAATGGGAGGCCTCACCATCCCGTGCAGCGAGGATTTATTCATCGATCTCACCTCTCGCTTGAGACCATTGTAACGAATATAAGTAGATAGACAAATAGATATTAAAGATACCCAACTATATTTCTTCTGTTTTTTTCATAATTTTTCAGTCTCGGATCCTTTTAGACTTCAATGGATATTTGTATATGAGCAATGAATGTAATATTTAGACAAAGATTATAGAATACAAACACATTACAACAGTTATCAAATATATTACAACAGAATGTTAAGTTCTGTTTACATATACACTTCGGGTGTGTTTGTTTGGGGGTTTGGATTTTAAGTTGGGATTTGAATAGTAAAAATTTTGAATTTGAATAGTTGTATGATTGTGATATAAATATGTCTTGATGTGATTTTTTTTTTTTAATATAAAATTGATTTTTAGTATAATATAAAAAATGAAAAATAGGACGTTTGATTTGATGTTTTTCGGAGGAAAAAATGGGATGAACAGTGGAAATATAATCCAATCCCCCAAAAAAATATTACTATTCATAACTTTTGTTACTATTCATAAATTTTCCAAAAAAATATGACATCAACTATATATATATTTATATATTTCCTTATAAAATATCACATTAATTATCTATTTTTTTACTATTTTAAAAAAATTTTGAAAGTGCAAAACTGCTAAAAAATTTCTATCTAAAAGGAATCTGTTTCAAGAATTTGATTTGGTTATAGACAACATTGATTTTTGGGGGGAAAATAATATTTCCCTAATATGAATAGTTAAAATGGATTGTTAAAAACACTACTAATCAAAATAAATAATACTGCCACTTATTTTATTTCTTCTTTGATTATTCATTTCGAAATATATTAATTTCTTTAAAAAAAAATAATATGAAAGATAAAATCAATTTATTGTCTAATCAAATATTTATATTATAAATATAGAGACTATTGATTTACAAAAGTAACTAATTAATAGTTTTAGTATAATAAAATTATAATAGTAGAATTAATATATAATTTATTTGCTTACGATGCATTGTATATTATTATTTAAAACATTTTATTTTTCAGGATATGTTAGTATAGCGCTACCATCCGTGTATCTAAAATGGTGACATATGTTAGTTTAATTAATTATTTAATTATATTTGAATTTTGATTATTTTTTAATTATTTTATATAATTAAACTAACTTTAACTCTATCATATTCAAAATATACGTGAACGGTTTTTTTTTATTATTATTATAAATACTCACATACGGGTTACTAAACCTACTCTCAGAAAATACGAGCCAGTTTGGCAATGTCATCCTAGGGTTCCAAGATCTGCCAACGGCTTCAAAGTTTGGCAACAGCCTCCCAAGGTTCCAAATTTAGCAACACCATCTTCTTTTAGCAATGGCTGGAAGTTTGTTTAGCTTCCGCTAATATTTGATTTAAGAATTATTACATTTGGTATCAGAGCTATTGCTATTTTGCCTCTGTCTTGCTTTGAATTTTCTTCTCATCATATTTGGTTTTTTATTTTCAACAATTGCTTTGCCATATTTTTTATCCTACGATTTGAGAAATTTTCATTATGCCTTTTAGAAAAATTTTGAATTTTATTTTGAAATTAATTTACGCAAAATATTAAATTTCTAAATTTTTCATGTGTTTCGATTGAGTGTTCAAATTCTTCTGTAATGTCTTTGTGCACTTCATATCTGTGTTATCTCTTGTATGCTCAATTAATTACCTTGAGAAGTCGTTCAGTGTTGAATTGTTAGATATATATAGATATATTTAATCGGGAGATATTTAATTGGAATCACTTTGGTCAAGGATCAAAAATATTTTCAATTGATTAAATTCATATATGTTACAGTTAATTAATTGAACTTTGTCTCAATTGCTATTGATTTCGATTGCATCAATTATTGTTTTGGTTGAATTAATTGATTGGTAAAGAGATTAATCAATGTTGACGGATTGTATGGAAATTTACCTGCAATTTTATGTGATACAATTTCTGTGTCCGTGCTTTTGCTTTGATCATTTCAGCGCCACCAAAACTGTTTGCTGGTGTGTGTTTCCTCTGTGTTATCATATTATCTTGGATTGCAGTAACTAGTTCCCTGTTCATGGTATGGATCTAAACTAAATAAGAAATTGGTTATAAGGTCAGAATGTTAGTATATTTTAAATATATATTATTGTATGCAATGATGCAATGCCACGTATACGGTTTGTCAAAAAAAAAAAATATTGATGATAACTGGTACCAACTTATTTTTTTTCTAAAGATGACAACTAATATACAATCTTCAACAATATAATTGAAAATTGTGATGTTTATATATTTCAATTAGTGTCAACCAATGTCTCACTTGTATTGTTTCACTTATCATGTAAAGTTTAATCGAAATATTTCCTTTTTTTATTTATAAGCTATATGGTCTCATATAATTGTTAATTTATCTCCCTGTCATTTTCATTTACCAATATCTATCACCATACATTTCAGTGTTACTCACAATTAGACGTGTCAAAATGGGTTAGTGGGGCGGATTGGCCCACAACCCACCCTAATCCGCAAATAAGCGGGTTGTTTGCGAGCCCCAACCCAACCCACCGGCGGGTGGCGAGCTAAGCAGGTTCGCCCACGGGCTTTTTAAAAATTTTAAAAAAATATTAATATTATAAATATTTTTGTAATTAATATTTAAAAATAGCTAAAAATAGTTTTATCATAGAATTTAAATAATAAATATTTTAAAATAAATAAAAAATATAAAAATTCTCAATTCTAAATATTATTAATTGGTGTATTTAAAAAAATTAATAATAAGAAATACTTCATTTTAAAAATAAATCATAATTAATTTTATGAATTTGTAAAATTATGTAATAATAAAATGGAAGACGAACAAAACAAATGATGAAAAATCGAAACAAATAACAATGTCATGAATAACATAGTTAGAGAAGAAAAACAACGTGTAGACAATATTCATAATTTATTTAAACTAATGATAATATAAATTTTATTTTATTCGTCTTAACTTATTTATAGTATGTTTGTAATTTATAAAAAAAATTAAAATATATTCTTATATTAATATTTAATTAGTTTTATTATACTCACTCTATACCAATAGAATAGCCTTATTTACTATTTTTGTCCGTCTCAAAATAATATTTCTATAAATAACCATATCACTGTAAAAGTACCCTTACTTTTTCATTAATATTATGCCCAAAACTCTGTTTCTATTTCATACAGACCTCTGTATTGGTAACATTCTTGAGTATAAAGATTCTACCATATTAAACTTTCTTTCTGCAGAGGCTACATAAAGTGATTCAGCATTCATATCTATACACCTCTCAGAAAAATTGCACGCTTTAGAGAAGACTCGTACATGGGACTTAGTTGATTTACCTTCAGGAAAAACACATTGGTTGCAAATGGATTTTCAAGAATAAAAAACCAAGTTGGGTCAGTTGAGCGTTAAGATGCAATAAATATTTTTTTGCAAAGTGTCATCTCTGGGTAAGGGAGTAGAAATCTTGCCTGAACAAGAAAATGAATCTCTATTAACGATCGTATAAATTTCAAGAAAAAACGATACAAAAATCTTTTCCTTGCTCTATCTTCCTATCTATCTATCTTGACATATACATGTATGCATTCTATGCCTTCCTCAAGCGGGACGTGAGATCAACAAATAAATTCTCGCTGCAGGGAATTGTCAGGCCTCCCATTGGATGATAGAACCCGAATTCCTCTTCGGCTTGAGACAACAATTCTTGAAACATAGGATCCTTCAAATAAGACATCGGAACAACAAATCGTTTCTTTTCACTTGTCTCCCCAATGTATACTGCTAAGTGCCCCTTTGGAACCTCGGCTGATCTTCTTTCGCTTGATAAAGACAGTCTCAGCTTTCGTAGGATTGCCATTTTGGGATTCTCTGAATGAAAGAAGATGAAAATTGTTATGTAAGAAGTGATCAATCCTCCAAAAGATTGAAGTCAATGTTGCTTGTTTAAGTATGGATGTCTCAAGTATATATATAGTAGATAAGTAATGAAGATATAACGTCTACAAGAGACTATTTGACAAACCAGCGAACATTGAATGTAGAATATGAGTTGCTTACGAAACTACTGAGATATCAGGACATGGTCAGATAAATGCATCTGTCTTAGTACAGTCCTGTAGGATCACAAGCCGCCGCAGTCTTTTGTGGTCGATATGATTGCCCCTTTAGGACATCTATCTGTTGAATGTCTTTACTGTAATAAGTCAAGACAGACCTGGGGCCTTCGTTCTTCCTTAACTTCTACACCAATTCTGTAATGAACACAAGTTTAAGATCCTTTAATCTCTGAGTCAGTCAGAGTCATGATCCACCAGCCAAATTCGCTGTCTTAAAGGTTTCTCATTAGTCGAGAAGCACAATCACATGAGCTGCTGATTTGTTTCAGCTTTCAATGTCTGAAACCAGAAAAGTAGATATTCTGTAATGAATGTGTAACCATTGTTTCACATGGTGGACCCATTGAGAGGTTTTGGAAGGGCTATTTCTGTCAGGAAATAAACTTGTTTTTGGTATAATTTAATTGTGTGCAACTATTCTTGGGTAGAATAAATTTTCCTTGCTTGGAGAATACATTTAGTAGAGAAGACCTCCTTTTATTTATAATTTCCATGTTTATGGTTGATTAACTAGAGATATGATGCATACTTATTCATTAAGGATAAGTGCAGCAAGTAAGGTAATTGACAAAAAGGTTTCTTTTTTTTTTTTTTTTTTTTTTTTATACGTGAATTTCTCCACTGCAGAAGGATAATATTTTTTTTGGCTGCACAAATATCTTATCTCTGCAATTTTTGAAAGCTTGTTTTTTAATTTCTGGGTTCACAAATTTTCTTCCAACAATTTCAGCTCTTTACACTGTTTGGGTTTCAAGTAGATTGGATGTTAGGAATTCCAATGGAAACCAAGTTTGGCAACTTAAGACATGTGGTGGTTGTATGTCTTGAAAGAACACTGTTTTTTGGGCCACACAGGTTGCAGCTGTCCGACAAACTCTACCATAACTGGAAGACAAGCGCATTCATTTCGCCATATGCTCGTACCTCATCAGGACAGCTCTATTTACGGAATTAGACATTCAATAAGAGTTTTTCTACTACACGGAATTTCATGATCGCCTATATATAGGACACCAGATCTAGACTACAACCAGCAACAACTACACCAATCTTTCTAACCTTTCACTTCATACACAAACACATCTTCTTACAACTTTCTCCTTCTTGCCTAATACATCCGACAATGGCCATTGTATAAAAGTTTATAAAGCCTTTATGGAGCGAAAAAAGATCGGCCGAAGTTCCAAAGAGGCACGTGGCGGTTTATGTTGGGGAGAACAATGAAAAGAAGCGCTCCGTCATTCCGGTGTCCTATTTGAACCATTTGTCGTTTCAAGAATTATTGCTTCAAGCTGAGGAACAATTCGGATTCCATCATCCAACGGGAGGCCACACCATCCCGTGCAGCGAGGATTTATTATTGATCTCACCTCTCGCTCGCTTGAGTCCATTGTAACAAATACATCATCGAATTGGAGGACTTTCGAAAAGGAATGTGCACATTGTTGTTAACATGAGAAGTCTATTCAATCTATTTAACCTTTAATCAACTTTGGATAGGCTGACACCGGCTTATCCATAGGAGTTGGCAAAACAAAGGCCCAATTCCGTGGGGTATCACATTCATCATGCCTTCAATTTTTTAGAATTGACAAGAAACCAAGTGTAGGAGGGAAGCAGAAATTTCCGGAAGTTATGTCTGCTCTTGAAGTTCTCTTCTTTCTTGCGTTCTCCCTTCTCCCCTTCAATGATTAATGTCGTATGTGAGAACATGGTAATGCATTTCTCTCCTTTCTTCAATTGCTCATCACTCATTTTTTTAATTTCTTAACACAAGATCCCCTTTGAAATTAAATACCCATAGTCTTGGAATTGCCAATTCAACTTCGGAGGACTTCTTTGCAATTTTCACTTTTTCCACAATGTGATCTCCTTAAGCGTGATCTCGTCTAAGGCTTTTCTGCATTCGGCTCCCTTTTGTCCACTATATGGTCAAAACTTTGTCAACTCCCCAAAGCCTATTACACGATGAAAAATACACTAAGAGAAACATATGTATATAATTTTGCATCCAAAAATCGCTCAAAATATAGCAAAATATTCATCTAATATAGCATATATCACAACTTAATATTCTTGTTATAGGCGAGCATGTGACTAGTACTTCAATATATTTTGTTGATGTTATGTAAATAAGATTCAATAAAATTCTTATACAATTCGTTACATATTGTATTGTTCAACAAAAAGAGGAAAAAGTGAAAATATAAATTCGAATATGATCCAAACTCAACCATAAGATTGAGTTCATAATATGGTGCACAATACACAATCACTTGGTAGAACAATGCCATAATACACACACACACACATATATATATATATATAATTATATAGCCCTTGGAAAGTTCAGAAAATAGCATGGTTGTGTCTTCAATCTAAATAGCATGGTTGTGTCATCAATCTTATCATTGAAGATTTTTTTAGATAAAAAATGAAACAATTTTTGTTTGATTTGTATTTGTGCATGCTTGTACATGTGTTTACCTTTAAATAATATTTTGATGTAATATATTGTAAAATAAACTAAAAGGATCATGAGGAGTATATAGTAAAGAAAATTGAAAAAAAAAAAAAAATCTCAACCAACGGCTATTTTCGGCCACTAATTATTATGCAAAATTATGGGTAACAAATAGTGCTATTGGATTTAATGCTACAACTACTTTTTACCATACCATTTATTACAAACTTATTGTTATGGCTTGTTTAGGCTATAAAAGCCCTATTTTTGTAGTGTTTCTTAAACTAGTATAAGTTCTGTTAAGGGACTAAAGTTCTTGTCTTGAAAAAATATATAAAATTTAAATTTTTCAGGATCCATGGATTGTTAAGAGTTTGATAAAAAAATCCCTTTCCTAAACTCGGCTTCATCCGGAACAACTTAAATTAATATTATATATTGCTAAGATTATTCATATTCAAAGTCATTATTCAAAATTTGGACCAGAAAGTTAAGTAGTACAAATGAAATTTTAATTAATGTGCGGATTCAATAATCTGTTTTCACAATATCAAAATTAAATATTATGGAGAAAATCCAAATATTATTAGTGGTCACGGTTAAACCCAAATCCATCGCCAAACGCAAATCCAAATAAAAATTCACAAATTAATTATTCTTTGCTTCATTGTCTTCTTCCCCAAATAAGACACGAACACAGATTGAACACAAATCTGGGTTCTAAACCCCATCCCTGTGGATGGACAAAACGACCAGCAGTGGTTAAGGAAAGCTTCAGGTGGCATTTGTCTAAACTCGCTATGTACCCGTTAAATATGTGAACAAGAAAATTATCAAAAATCCTGAACACTCAAAACCTAAAAATCGATTTTCATAGTTACACCATAGAATACCTAAGTTTTAACTCACCGTTCGATTTCCTGAGAACAGTACTGCGGCCAGGAAGATTCACACCGCCAATAATGACGAGTTTCGAACTGACGACCGATAGAGCAGAGGATGTCGACCAGATCTTCCTTGCAGATGGGAGTTGAGTTGGAGAAGATGGAAATAGAAGGTGAATTTTGTATGGGGTAAAATATATGCATGTTGGGAAAGTGTTAACATATAATATGTTGGGAAGTGTTAAAACATTTTAAAAATTTTATTATTTTTTTAAAAATAATGTTATATAATTTTAAAATCTTTATTTAAAATTATAATATCGACTTTTTGTTACGATTTCAAATACCACTTTTTGTGACGAAACTATTGTCGCAGATTCAATTCCACTAGAAAAAGACATTTTTTGTAGTGATTGTCTAAATTTATATTTTTACATCTATCATTTTTTTTTATGTTTAATTTTTCATAATTTTAAATTCCAGTGTGTCTTTCTGACTTAATGTTCTACCACGGTTCAGTATCATTGTATTGATATAACCATGATTGATATATTTTTTTTAATTTAAAATATTTTATACTTCCTTGTCCCAATTCAAATGGGTCTTTTGGAAATAATAATATTGTACGGTCAGTAGAATTGTGTCATAGCTTTTGACATTTTTTACAAAGTCATCGGATGTCTAAGAACTTACAGTCACTTTCTCATTATTTTTATTATTCTTTTTTCAGTTTTTACTATAAAAACGCTCATTACCTTTAATAAAAAATATAGTTATAATTTATTTTTACCTTTCTCAAAAATGAGTTACTTTCAACAAAAGAAATAAAAAAGTAAAAAATAAATTCAATTAAATTAAGTACTATTATGTCTAAGAACTTACAATCACCTTCTCATTATCTTTATTATTCTTTTTTCAGTTTTTACTATAAAAACGCTCATTACCTTTAATAAAAAATATAGTTATAATTTTTTTTTACCTTTCTCAAAAATGAGTTACTTTCAACAAAAGAAATAAAAAAATAAAAAATAAATTCAATTAAATTAAGTACTATTAAAAAATTTAAAATTTCAAAATTTAAAATTATAAATTTAATATAAATTATCTATAAATATATTTAAAATTTATTAACCTATTCTCACGCTTTATCTATCATATTTTAAAAATATTTATTTTTTTCTACCTTTTCATATTTAATTCGATGTAATGACTATTGAAGAAAGTTCTTTCAATCACTTCTTAAATCAAACTGTCAGAAATGAAATTAATGGATCAAACCAATCTTCTTTTGCTAATCCAAAATTTCAAATATAATAATATTATATAAAAATATTATTAGACAATAAAAATATATAGAAATATATATATGTATAAATAAATTATTTATATATTGTTTATATATATTACTATTACATAATAAAAATATATAAAAATAAATAAATTATTGTGGATTTATAAAATACTAGTAAAAATAATGGGTTGAAAGTGATTTATTATAAATTATTGTGGATTATAAAATACTAATAAAAGTAATGGGTTGAAAGTGATAAAGGAAATGATTTGAATGTCAAAATAGATATGATGTGAATGAGAGAGATAAAAGAGATAATGGAGTAAGATAATGTCTATAATAGATGCTCTAATGATACGTTTGTAATATAAGAAAATTTTAAAGATATTTTTTATATTAATTTATGATTAATTTTTCTAAAATAAGAAGAAATACATTGAAGTCATACAGATAAAAATATTAAAAATGATACATTGAATGGGGACGGAGGGTGTATTCAATACCTAAAAATA